TATTTCTTTTAACAGTGTTTTATAGTTTTCTTTGTATAGGTCCTTTATCTCTTTTGTTAGATTTATTCCCAAATATTTGATTTTTTTTGTTTCAATAACAAAAGGGATGGTTTTTTTGATTTCTTCTTCTTCAGATTTATTGTTTGTGTATAGGAAGGCTACTGACTTTTGCGTGTTGATTTTGTATCCTGCCACTTTACTGAACTGATTGATGAGTTGAATTAGCTTTTCTGTGGAGTTTTTGGGGTTCTCTATGTATAATATCATATCGTCTGCAAATATAATCACGGCAATTTTAAATTCTCTTTCTGGAAGGCTCAGAAGTTCTTCCAAGTTACTGTCGTTGCCATCTGGGGGCTGGTTTTCTTTTTGTGGTGTGCTTTTTCTCTGGAGAGTTGCTAGGTTGCGTGTGGTTCTTCTCCTCCCTACTGTCTGTTTTCTAATTTGCCGTATGCGTTGGGACACTGTGTTGTTGGGACTGGCCGGCATCTTGGGTTGGCTTCTCTGCTCCCTCCTGGCTCCTCCAGGAGTCATCTGTCAGTTTCAAGCAGTCTTTACTGGAGAAAGGTCCCTGTTCTAAAATGCCGATGTGGGGACACACTCCCCTGTGCGCCTGGTCTGCCCCGGCGGTGGGTTCCTGCTCCCCCTCTGGGCTTGGACTGCAGGCCAGAGGGGTTCTGGCGTGGGCGAACTTCCCCCGCTCACCTCTGGCTCCTGAGGAAGCCTTCTGCAGGTAGTCTTTACTGAAGAAATGTCCCTATTCTATAATGGTGATGTGGGACACACTCCCTGCGCGTCCGGTCTCAGGCACACTCTTCTGTGCGCTTGGTCTGCCCAGGCTGTGGGTGCTCGCTCTCCCTGTGGGCTCAGACTACTTGTTCGGAAGGGGCCCGGAGTGGGCTAACTCCCCAGCTGGCCACCAGCTGCTTCAGGAGCCTGTGCTGGCTTCAAGTCGCTAGGTGGCGCCAGAGATCTCTCCTGGAGCCCTTGGGGAGCTGATTTTCCACCCAGTGGGACAGGGAGCAGAGCAGGGATGGTAGGGTACACCTCAACGGCTTTGGGGTGCTGTGTCTGCCTTGTGCCCCACCATCGTGGGGAACCCACGCCCCTAATTTCGTGCCCCGGGTCTCAGTTCCAAAGCCCTCAGTTCCAGGACGCGGGCTGTAGCCCAGATCAGTGGCGCGGGAATGGCGCCTTTTGAATCCCGCTCCCCTGCCTGGGCGCCTGGTTCCTGCTCACTCCGGGAGGGCCTCCGCGCGTCTCCCCGCAAGCCTAGGTCGCAGGCACGGGGACCTGGGCAGCTGCGATCCGATCCGCGCAATCCGCGCCGCTTTCCCCGCGCAATCCCGCTCCGCGTCTGTTTTTCCAGCGCGCCGCCTTTCCGCTCAGCCTTACCGGGCGGCCGGGGCTGTGTGCTGGGGCTGGTCTCCTCCTGGGCGGGGCTCTCTTCAATGGCGCCCGGAGCTCACCTCCGCGGCGGATCCTGCGGGGGTTCTCCACAGCTCCCGTTCACAGGGTGTGGTGGCTGCAATAGTTCCTTTCCACTCACAGTCCCGCTTGCTGCGTCCTTTGTTCTTGTTGGCAGTTTTAGTTTGTTGTTTTCCTCCTCTCTGCCGGTCGGAGAGTGCCGCCTCTGTGGGCGGGGGAGGGGAGCAGGGTTCTGTGCTTCCCTCCCTTCTGGTCCTCTTTTATGGCCACTTTCTTCTTCGGGCAGTTTGCTGGAGTCGTCCGTTTATCTTCCGTGTCCCGGTTCTCACTAAAAAGAAACTTCTCTGAAGAGGAAATGCAAATGGCCAACAGGCATATGAAAAAATGTTCAACATCACTTGTAATCAGGGAAATGCAAATCAAAACTACCATGAGATACCATCTTACACCAGTGAGAATGGCACATATTAAAAAAACTAGCAACAACAAATGTTGGCGAGGGTGTGGAGAAAAAGGAACTCTTCTGCACTGTTGGTGGGAGTGCAAACCGGTCCAACCACTGTGGAAAGCTGTGTGGAGATTTCTGGACCTACTAAACATAGAGCTTCCATATGATCCAGCAATTCCACTCCTAGGTATTTACCCAAAGGACACAGAAACATCAATTCCAAAGAGCACCTGCACCCCTATGTTTATAGCAGCACTGTTTACAATAGCTAAGCTTTGGAAACAACCCACATGCCCAAAAATAGATGACTAGATCAAGAAGATGTGGTTCATATATACCATGGAATATTACTCAGCATTCAAAAAAGATAAACACATGCCATTTGCAGCAACATGGATGGCGCTGGAAGGGATCATGATCAGCGAAATAAGCCAAAAAGAAAAAGAAAAATACCGGATGGTCTCACTCATAGCAGGAATCTAGAAAACTTAAATAAGGGACCAGGAAAATGAATAACTATAAGAAAGTGAAAATCAAAATCAACAAAAAACTATGAACCAGAGACACTTTTAGGGGGGCAGGGGCGGGAGGGGAGGGATTGGGGTCAGAATGGGGGCGCTGCAGTTGTATGGGGAATATAACAATAAAATTTATTATCTAATAAAAAAAAATCATTTTGAGAGACAATGTAGGAAAAACTTCAAATTTAATGGCAGATGGTTCACTGGGATCAGTAAGAATGGAATCTCTAGATGTCAGAACAACCACTTCATAGCCTCGCTCAACAAGTTCATCCAGAATTGTCTTCATGTTGATCCAGTGGCTAGGGTCATGGGCCACACCAGCACCTTTCCACAACTCCCAAAGCTAAAGTAACAACCCAGTTGAAGCAGCAGAAGAGCTGAAGTCCATTTCACAGACATCTTGGTGAAATCTGAAACTCCTTTTAAAATTGTTTTTCTTTTCTGGCATTGCTCATGGTTATATCTTGGAGAAATCAATCAGGAAGTTAAACTATAACTGGCACACTTCAAAGTAAATATATTGTTTACAATCAAAATATTTGTGTGACATGTGGAGAAAGCAAAAGTATATATGACCTTGTTTGTATACAAATAGGTTCAATATCTTTTTGAAGATTAGTTGTGTTATCGCCAGGTAAGAATTAATGATAGATTAATATATAGAAGAATTAATTAAAGAATTAATAATTATTTAGAAAATTATAGAATTGGAAGAATGTCAAGAACAGTGGAAAGGGTGAAAAGGTCCAGTTTGCCATCTGCTGATAGAAGAATAAAAAGAAAACTCTTGCGCAGCTGAGTGCAAATTACTTGGAATAAGATATTGTTTGTTTTTAATAAGGGTTTTCTTAATATTTAATTCACATTCTATTTTCTTGCTGCATTTAAAATGTAGAATTCAGTTTTTATAGTATATTCGTAGAAATTTGCACATTCCATGATATCAAATTCATAGCATTTTACCTTCATCAACAGAAACCTTTACACTTTTGCTGGATCTTCCTAAATTCTCTTTCACCCACGTTCTATCCAAGAATATAGCTAGTTTTATTCTCTATAGATTTTCCTTATCTGAACAATTTCTGTAAAGGGAATCATGCAATATATGTTCTTTTGACATGCAAACCTAATGGTCTAGATGATATGCAATGTTGCAACACACGAATGAATGAGTAATGAACAGTGAATGAATGAACAAATAAATAAATGAATAAGTAAAATAGGTGTCATGGAATTCAAATGAGTGTTTTCATTTCATTTGATTGCTCTTAGATAGTTGCTTTCACATTGGAAAATAGTCCTCGATAAGTGTTTATAAAAATGTAAGATAGGATTATTACACATGAAATAATGGCAATAAGCTTTTATTAATTTATTTAAATTAACTTATTTGTCTTTATTATTAAGCTGTAATAGTGCTTTATATATTATAGATATTAGATAAGACTGAAATATTTTCTATTTTGTGATAGTATCCTTTTGAGGTACAAAGTTTTTTTTTTTATGAATTATTTGTTAAATGTAAGAATACTTTTAATGGAGCCTATAAAAGTAACTATTTAAGCGCTCATTTTATAACTAAACTATTCTAATTGTATAGTACAGTATTTGCCTTTACTACACATTTATATCACTCCAGAGCACAGATGGTTGAAACCTTGTTCCTAATATGATGGTATTAGGAGGTGGGTCCTCTGTTAGGTGATAGGATATGGACTGGAGCCCTTGTAATGGGATTATTGCCCTTACAGAAAAAGACTTCAGAGATTTCATTTGTCCCTTCTACCACGTGAGGATATAGCAAAATGAGTGTTTATTTTAATTAACCTTTTTTATTTTCTTATTTTGTTTTTTATTTTTGTACAATATTTGATATCTCCACTCATATGTGGTCCCTACTAAGTCTCCCACAATCACATCACACATATATTTAAAAAATATTTATTTTTTTTAAAAATTATTTATTTATATATACTTTACATCATTGTTCATTTTTGTGCAATGTAATCTTTCTCCTCTCAGGTGTAGTCCCTAAGAATTCCCACCACTAATTCACGCGTGCACCATCACCATAGTCCCTTGTGTTCTTTCCTCCCCTGTTTTGATCCCTTTCCCTCTCCTACAGAATGTCTCTGACTTATAGTTGCCTGTTAACTTTATTCATTTATTTTTATTTTTTTCCTGGTCCCTTATTTGGTTCCCCTATGATCCTCCTGTAAGTGAAACCATCCGATATTCATCTTTTTCCTTCTGACTTATTTCACTGAGTATAATCCCTTCAGCTCCATCCATGTTGCTGTGAATGGCATGAGTTTATCTTTTCAATAATTTTATTTTCTATATTTTACATCATTTTTCATTTTTGTATAATGTAACTCATGCATTTTTATATTTCTTTAGTCTTCTCCAGCTATTTTCTCTTTGGAATGACTTATCTCTAACTCTCAATTGGGTAATAAATCTCTCAAAAACAATTTTGGTCTGAGACATGAAATTAGAAGAAAAAATCAAACATAACAAGAAAAAGGGACACTTATCCCTCAATTCCTTGCAGGAATAAACTAGAGTACCCTGTGTGAGACATACCAACTGAGAAGCAACTATTCCCTTTTGTCCTTTCTGGTTTTGACAAACTTCTGGTAACAAAACAGACAACATTTTGTGATAACATACATAGCAGTTGCCACACAGGCCAGCAGGAACCCGATCACATCCAACGAGTGGTACTGGACCCAGGTGAGGTCATGGGAGGCTGGCAGCAGGTGCTTGGCTCCCTTATTACGCATGGCAAACTCAATCCAGAAGGCCGCTCTATCCAGAGACTTCATTGGCTGATCATGCTGTATCCTTGATAATTTGATAACATTTTCCTTATACCTAGAGAGAAACACAAATTTATAGATATTGGAAAGAAGCTAATTTGCCTAAGATATCATTTCTTAAAAGTTTTTGAAATCCACACATATGAGTCAAAATAAATGTCATTGCAATGAAGTATTTGTTTTATTGGGTCTTCACAGAAGAGCTTCACTTTAAAATTAGAATATTCAGAATGAGAACTATTTCCAAAAGTGAAAATATCATATAAGGAGGGATAATTAAATCTTTTTACCAAGAAAACATACGCGAATATGTCAAAACAAACTTTTAGATTGATCCTTATTGAGCATTTCTAGAATTATCATGTGTGAAATGACTCTTCACTGATTCCCTGTGTTGCTCTCTTTTCTCCCTCTATTGATATTTCCCATAATGCCATCAGAATGACTTTGAAATAAATGTGCAGTGAGGACACACCCCTGCTCAAAATTTCCAACTGTTTCCTATTGCGTTTAGAATTAAATTCAGGAAAAAAAAGTTAATAGGGAGGAAAAGCGGCAGGTCCCAGTAAGAACTGGGACACGGAAGATAAACGGACGACTCCAGCAAACTACCCGAAGAAGAAAGTTGCCATAAAAAAGGACTAAAAGGGAGGAAAGCACAGAACCCTGCTCCCCTCCCCCACCCACAGAGTCGGCACTCTCCGACCAGCTAGAGGAAAACAACAAACTAAAACGACCAACAAGAACGAACTACGCAGCAAGCGGGACTGTGAGTGGAAAGGAACTATTGCAGCCACCACACCCCGTGAACGGGAGCTGCGGAGAACCCTGCAGGATTCGCCACAGTGGTGAGCGAACAGCTCCAGGCGCCATTAGAGAAGAACAAAGAGACTCTGGAGACGCGCACACAACCCGGGCTGGCCAGTAAGCTTGCACGGAAAAGCGGTGCGCTTGGCGAGCTTGAAAAGCAAACGCGGATCGGGATCACGGCTGCCCAGGTCCCCGCGCCTGCGACCTAGGCTTGCGGGGAGACACGCGGAGGCCCACACTGAGTAAGCAGGAAATAGGTGCCCAGGCACGGGAGGGGGTGCAAAAGGCGCCATTCCCGCGCCACTGAACTGGGTTACAGCCCGTGTCCTGGACCTGAGGGCTTTGAACTGAGACCCGGGGCACGAAGTTCGGGGCGTGGGTTCTCCACGACGGTGGGGCACAAGGCAGACACAGCACCCCAAAGCCGTTGAGGTTTACCCTACCATTCCCACTCTGTTCCCTGTCCCACGGGGTGGGGGGGGGCGAAAAACAGCTCCCCAAGGACAATAGGAGAGATCTCTGGCGCCACCTAGTGACCAGAAAAAGAAAGTCACTAATACCCCATAGAACAGGGAAATTTCTTAAGTCTGCTTGAAAAGAGCAGAAGGCTCCCGGAGGAGACAGTGGCCAGCTGGGAAGTTAGCCCACGCCAGGCCCCTTCCGACCAACAGTCTGAGCTCACAGAGGGAACAGGCACCCACGGCCGGGGCAGACCGGGCGAGCAGAAGAGTGTGCCTGAGACCGGATGCTCAGGGACTGAGTCCCGCGTTGCCATTTAAGAACAGGGACATTTCTTCAGTAAAGTCTTCCTGAAACCAGCAGAAAGCTCCCTCAGAAGCCAGAGATGGCTCCTGGAGGAGCTAGAGGGGAGCGGAGATCACCCAATATGACGGCCAGTCCGAGCACCACAGTGTCCCAATGCATACGACAAATTAGAAAACAGACAGTAGGGAGTAGAAGAACCACACGCAACCTAGCAACTCCTCAGGAAAAAAAGCACACCACAAAAACAAAACCACCCCCCAGATGGCAATGACAGTAACTTGGAAGAACTTCTGAACCTTACAGAAAGAGAATTTAAAATTGCCGTGATTAAAAAAATGACAGACTCATAAAGGAAAACAATGATCAGAAGAAGGAAATTCAGTCCCTAAAGAGGGAAGCGAAAGAAACGCAGGGGATCAAAGAATTGATGGAGGAACTAAAGAACTCTGGGAAAAGCAATGAAAGCAGAATAGATGAAATGGAAGAACGAATAAGTATTCTTGAAGACACAGAAATAAAAAGAACCAAAACAGAAAAGGAAAGAGAAGTACGAAGGAAAAAGAACAAAGAGAGACTTCGGGAACTATCTGACTCCATGAGGAAAAGAAATATAAGAGTTATAGGAATTCCAGAAGGAGAGGAGAGAGATGTAGGAACAGAGGAAATATTCCAGGAGATAATTGAAGAGAACTTCTGAAATGTGAAGAAGGAGCTGAAAATTGATATACAAGAAGCAAGAAGAACACCAAACTTCCACGACAAAAGGAAAAATACAGCAAGACACATAACAGTAAAGCTCCAGAGAATCCAGGACAAGGAAAAAATAATGAAGCTGACAAGAGGGAAGAAACAGATAACATTCAAAGGAAAACCAATCAGGCTGACATCAGACTTCTCTGAAGAAACACTACGGGCAAGGAGAGAGTGGAGGGGCATAGTCAACAGACTCCAAGAAAACAGATGCCAACCAAGAATACTCTATCCTGCAAAGCTCTCCTTCCTCTATGAAGAAAGAATAAGGACCTTCCCAGACAAAGAGAAACGCTGGAATTTCATTACGACTAAACCCCCACTACAAAAAATACTACAAGGAATCCTAAAGCCAGAACATCAGAAGGACGAATAACAATGAAAGAAGGACAAAAAGAAAAAGTTATTAAAAGAATAAATAAAATCAAAGGAAAGACAAACACAATGGCAAATACAGATGCTAACATATCAATATTAACCCTAAATGTAAATGGACTAAACTCTTCAATAAAAAGACACAGAGTTGCAGCCTGGATTATGAAACAAAACCCAACCTTTTGCTGTCTCCAGGAAACACATTTAGCTACAAAAGATAAAAATAGGCTCAAAGTTAAAGGATGGAAAACAATCCTACAAGCAAATGGACCAAAAAAGAAAGCAGGAACAGCTATACTTATATCAGATAAAACAGACTTCAAACTCAAAAAAATAAAAAGAGGCCCCAATGGTCACTACATTATGATCAAGGGGACAATAATTCAAGAAGAAATAACACTCATTAACATATACTCACCTAACGAAGGAGCACCACAATATATCAGACAACTGTTGTCCTCTCTGAAAACAGACATCAGAGAAAACACATGTGTAGTGGGAGACTTCAACACACCACTATCAAAAAAGGATAGATCAACAAGACAAAAAATAAGTAAAGAAACTAAAGCTCTAAATAAGGACCTAGAGCATTTGGGCTTAACAGATATCTATAGAACACTAAACCCCCAAAAAACGGAGTACACATTTTTCTCAAGCGCACATGGATCATTCTCCAGGATCGATCACATACTGGGGCACAAGACAAACATCAACAGATACACCAAGATTGAAATCATATCAACCATCTTTTCTGACCATGAAGTCATCAAACTAGAAATAAACCATAAAAAGAAAGCAAGGAACTTTCCTACCTCATGGGGATTAAAAACCACACTACTGGAAGACCACTGGACTAATGAGGAGATCAAAGAAGAAATTGAAAAATTCTTTGAATTGAATGACAAGGACACCAATATCCTAAATGTATGGGATGCAGCAAAAGCAGTAATAAGAGGAAAATATATAGCAATAGAAGCTCACATCAAGAAACAAGAAAGAACTCAAAGAAACAACCTAATCTCGAAGCTCAAATCTAGAAAAAGAACAACAAAATAACCCCAAACCAGTAGAAGAAAAGAAATAATAAAAACCAAAGCAGAAATAAATGAAATTGAAACTAAAAAAACAATCCAAAAGATCAATGAAACCAAGAGCTGGTTCTTTGAAAAAATCAATAAAATAGACAAACCCCTAGCCAGGCTCACAAAGGAAAAAAGGGAGAAAGCACAAATAAACAGGATCAGAAATGAAAGAGGAGAAATCACAACGGACACAGCAGAAATCAAATGAATAATCAGTAACTACTATGAACAGTTATATGGAAACAAGTTCAACAATATAGAGGAGATGGACAAATTCCTACAACTCTACAATCACCCAAAGCTAGATTAAGAAGAAACAGAACACCTAAACAGACCAATTACAATTAGCGAAATTGAAATGGTAATCCAAAACCTCCCCAAAAACTAAAGCCCAGGACCTGATGGATTTACAAATGAATTCTACCAAACATTCAGAGACGAATTAGTGCCTATCCTTCACAAACTCTTCCAAAAAATTGAGAAGGAAGGGACAATACCAAACAAGTTCTATGAAGCCAATATTACACTAATACCAAAACCGAATAAGGACAACACAAAAAAGGAAAACTACAGGCCAATCTCGCTAATGAACACTGATGCAAAAATCCTCAATAAAATTTTAGCTATCAGAATCCAACAATGTATCCATAAGATAATTCACCACGACCAAGTTGGATTCATTCCAGGGACACAAGGATGGTTTAACATCTGAAAATCAATCAACGTTATCCAACACATCAACAAAAAGAAATATAAAAACCATATGATAATATCAATAGATGCTGTGAAAGCTTTCGACAAAGTGCAACACCCATTCATGATAAAAGCCCTTGAAATTCTTGGGATACAAGGAACATACCTCAACATCATAAAGGCCATCTATGACAAGCCAACAGCCAGTATCATTCTCAATGGTGAAAAGCTGAAAGCAATTCCATTAAGATCTGGAACAAGACAAGGATGTCCACTCTCACCACTGCTCTTCGATATAATACTGGAAGTCCTAGCCAGAGCAATAAGACAAGAGAAAGACATCCAAGGAATCCAAATAGGAAAAGAAGAAGTCAAACTATCACTATTTGCAGATGATATGATAATATACATAGAGAACCCCAAAAACTCCACAGAAAAACTAATTCAACTCATCAATCAGTTCAGTAAAGTGGCAGGATACAAAATCAACACACAAAAGTCAGTAGCCTTCCTATACACAAACAATAAATCTGAAGAAAAAGAAATCAAAAAAACCATCCCTTTTATTATCGAAACAAAA